GCACAGCACATTTTGCCTGAAGGCAGAGATGCTGCATAGTAAACCACTATACCTTCTATGCACACACACACTTGATCACTCCCTTCCTTATAATTCATACAGCATCTCCCTCCACCCAGAGGGATATCTAGTGACAGAATTACACCTCCCGCCCCAAGCTTCCAGTTTGAACCTAGGCCAAGTGATCCCTGTGGAAAACTCTTCTAATAGAGGCTAATTTGAAGGTGACCATTTAAACCCACTTAATTTCTAATGCACTCCTGGGTCTGCACAAATCCCTCCAAAGGATAGGATATCCAGACTGGATGACTCAAAGTATCATCATGGAACCACCATCTGCCAGAATCTGAAAGATCTTTAAGTGTCGCCATTCATCTTTCCAAGTAGAAATATCATTTTCATCTTCACCTTTTGTATCATATTATGATGTTGTAATAACCAACGGTCTCCAAAATTTCTTTTTTGAATATATTTGCCTCTTGTATTAATTTATCAGTTGTCCCCTATTCCCTCAAGAATTTGGAATCTATCACAGAAAAAAAGGAAAATGAACAACTGAGTTTAATCACAGCAAAGCTTGCTAGAAATTGTGCTGATACAGAAAAAAGCATGTCTGCTAGAAGCAAACAAGGTAAAAAGCCCAGTTTCATGGGTCTATAGAGGAACAAGAGCAGCAAGAGATCAGAGATGTAAATATTTGGAACCTTCTTTCTCCAGATCAGAATGCAACTCAGATGCATAAGGACTAAGCACCGGGGCTGACTGCTACTTCAGGTGCATTAGTATAGCCACTTAAAACTTTGAGTAGTTCAATCAAAGGCAAGGTTCCTCTGCTTGAAGTAGGTAAACAAGTATTGAGCCGCATCAGCTCCAAGTTGCTATTAGACAAATAACATGCCAATGTCCACATACCACTCAGGAATTTACTGGTATTCTTTTTTTCAGAATATTGAAATGGAAATGGAACTCACTGTACTCTTTTTAAGAGCACTTCTCTCAGTTGCTCAGGCAATAATGAAGAATAGCCAACTCAGTTACACAGGGTAACCAAAGAATGGTAAAGATAACCCAGATGAAGCTAGACCAAAGGTAATATAAAATATAAGAATATTATTCAATGCATTAGCATGGGAAAATTTGTAGACAGATTTCTGCAAGCCAGCTGTGAATAAGAGTGGGCAGGGCATGATCTAGTATACATACCATGTACTGTGCAGTACTGAAAGGTGCTGGATGAAGGAAGGGTTTGGTAAACCTCAACCGTTCAGCCAGCAATAATCAGGAAATGACTGTGCACAGGCAATGCATTAGAAGCCTGCATCCTCATTGCAGTACCGTACCTGATCTAGAAACAATGGATAGGGTTTCCATTCACTAACAGGGAGCTGCCCGTCCCCTCCCTCATGATATCCACCAGGTCTTCTGTGGCCCTGCCACTTGCCCGTTGTTGACTCTCAGCTAGTCCCAACACCTAAAGAAGGACCAGCTCTTTTTGTGGTTCATTTTTTTAGAAGCCTGCATCCTCATTGCAGTACCGTACCTGATCTAGAAACAATGGATAGGGTTTCCATTCACTAACAGGGAGCTGCCCGTCCCCTCCCTCATGATATCCACCAGGTCTTCTGTGCCCCTGCCACTTGCCCGTTGTTGACTCTCAGCTAGTCCCAACACCTAAAGAAGGACCAGCTCTTTTTGTGGTTCATTTTTTTTTATTCTTATTTAAAAAAAAAAAAAAAAAAAGAAAGAGAAAGAAGAAGATGGGTTTCACTCTTGAGTTATATATTTCCTAACTACCTATACCAAGAACAAAGACACAAACCCAAAATCTTTAAGAGGTTTGGGTTTTTTTTTTCTTTTGAAGTTTGGGATTTTCTAGCAGTGCTGTTTCCCTTTCTGTGCCAATTAAAATGGCTCTGTTTTGTAACTGATAAAGGTGCCTTTAACACGTGTCCACAACAAGGACCATTGTGTGTTGTTACAGTTGTTCAGTAGATGCCCAGTCTCAGACAGATGGTGCTTTATCCTCACCCTCTCTTCAAGACAGCATAATGCATTGTCCTGTCAGGGATTAATGGAAGTGCCACTCACATTAGTTGCTAATTCTGGTAGCAACTCTGTTGCTACACTACAGATGCTACAGCTACTGCTTGCAACTAATGCTTGAAGCCAGCAGTCCACACTGAGGAGAAGCAGGACATTCAGAAACCAAAGTGAGGAGCACAGTGCAAGAACCTATGCAAAATGCAACCTCCTGGTCAAGGGGAAAGAGAAGTTTGATAAGGGAGACAAAGATGATGGAGAGAAACAAACACGGAGAAACAGTAGAATTAAAAACGAGGAGTGAAGATTAAAGAAGAGAAACCAAATGAACCAAATGGGAAGTTAAAGCAAAAGGTCCAATGCAAATGAGAAAAGCACCTTTTCTCAGTAATAGCCAACACATCACATCATCAGAAAGTCAGCATTAGAAAGGTGCCCCATAATAGGGGAGAAAAGCTGAAACAGAGGACGTAGCGTGATGCCAGTGAAAGTAGGTTATTCTACAGCTGGATCTTGCCCCACCATGCACCCTAAAGCATTACTGCCTTATAAAACTGCACATGAATGTTTAATGTCTTGAATAGGCACACAGCTGACTACTGATTATTAATGGAAATAAGAGTCTCAAAACTGACTTTTGGATACCTAATCCAAGAAAAATATACCAGGAGAAGTCTGCATAAACACCATGAAAGACAGGCAATTCAGAGATAAGTTTTCAGCTCTGTCCTGGACCCTCCCTTTTTTGTTTAGATAAGAGATTTCAGATCCAAGAGTAATTTCAGAAGTTTTCTTCTTCTTCCACACATGCATTGAGTGGGCTGAGAAGCACCTAGGCTCAAAACAGCTTGTGCTACAGCATTTTTGTCATGTTTTTCCTGGTCTTTTACCATGGTCTGTATGTGGCATAGTGGGAGAGAGGAAATCCGAGTATTGGACCTTGCTTTCTCAAAAGTCACTGGAGTATGTGAAATCTTTTCTGTCTGAGAGAAGCTCCTCCATGTTTACATGGATGACAAATCTAGTTAGATACTCCACACAAAACTTCTAATAACTAGCGCTATCATGTCACTAATTGGTCAAGGGAACATAGGCCTTTCATTCTATATTTCAGAGGAGGTTTCTTATGGAAGAAAGGGAAGAAAGGGGAGGAAGAGGCTATTCAGAGATGTTTATCAAACCTGACAAGCCAGACCCTGGCAGCAGATGGTAGATGGCAAACAGGAAGGTTTTGTGAAAAACTAGAACAGTAAAAAAAAACAGTAGAAAGAAGGAAGGCACTATGACAGCAGGAAATATAAAGTCTAAAGATATACAAGGAAATGCATTTAGACGTCTATTGCTCCATTAATAGATAAAAATGGAGCAATGGAATAAACGCAAGGGAAATGAAGTCTATCACTAACAAGCTTATGCACCGACAAGCAGCGTGAGCCCAGGTCTTGAAATAGTATATTAGACCATAATGTTTTCAAGTTTCTTCTGAGGGTTGAAGAAATGGGGTATACTGTTAACTTCTTACAAGTCTCCAGTACTTTATATTAAGAAGCTGTGGTCATGGTAAAAAGCAGATGAACTATTGAACAAGAAAACTGCCTCTGGTTCACAAAGTCAATGAGCTGTAAATCACAGGTACACCAGGAAATTCAAGCTGTATACTTCTGCCATTCTCATGCTTGCTCATCAGGGGACCCACTGCTATTGGACACTAGGAATGGACTAGATGGGCTAGATATATCTTTAGTCTGACATGTTTGTCCTTTTTTATTACTTTCTTTATAACTTCCTTTACTAAGAAATGACATGTCAAGGAAATGGAAGAGAATTTATTAATGACGATGTGTTTGACAGCCACTACACTGGACTAAAAAGATCTTGGCTGGAGCCAAGGACAATGTAGGTTGATACCTAACTTGTCACTCCACGCTCCAAGTGCACATACTTCAGTGACATACTTCCAGGCTCAGACCGCCTTACATCTCCATTTGCAATAGTCCTTACTATTCCCCATCTGGACCTTTCTTGAATAATATTTATAGTATTGCCCAGAAATTTTGCTGGTCGTGTAACTGCATACAAATTGAATGCTAGAAGAAAACAGATTTTTTTTCTTTTGTGGTCCAAAATAATATTCCAGATTCAGAGCTACATGATGAACTTTCCTCTCTCAGTTACGGTCTCACCTTTTTTTTTTCTCCATTCCTTGTGCAGCTCTGCTGGTGCAATTACCACATCACTTGCAGTATGCCTCTGGATTTCAGTACCAATGTAACCATGCTTTAATGTACTCTAGGGGGATATTTATACCACCTAGCTCTAAGCACCTAAGTTGGTCATAGTTATTAACCAGCTAGTCACTGCAGATTCCCTTTTTAGTCCATAAGAAAAAATCAGTTCCTTCAGTCTCCTTCAGAGCAAATGTATTACCATAACCTGCAACTCTTCCTACTCAAGCCATAAGATTTTTATATGTAGAAGCTCCTAGCAGCACTAAATTCCACACCATTCTACCAAACTGATTTTAGTGTTAACCCAAAATAACTTAGGTTCAAGCCTTTAAACACAACCCAGTCTCCTCTGCTACAAAGGTCCTGTCCTATAAGAGTCATAAGAGATCTGTTCATCTTCTCAAAAACCATATATTAACCTTTAAGCCCACACATAATTTTTCACAGGTGAAGCCCTACACAATAGTTTGAATAAATTGCAAACACTTGCAATAGTTCAGTTTGCTTGAGCAAAATTCCTTTTACAAATAACTCAACACAGGCTTAATTTCTGCCAGCCCTAACTAAATGAACAAGCACTTGATGTCTAAGGGTGAACAAAGTTTGAGCAACACCAAAGTTTAATTTTTAAAAAGTCATTTTTATCCACCACAACTGTGTTAAAACACATCTTACAGCTAGTCTTTAGTCTCATTTTTAATATGCTATTAGTATCTGTAAAATGCATCTTACCTTGATCTTCTGAAGAGACCGGTGACCTGGAATAAAACAACAAAGCACAGTCAATCTTTGCTATGGAAAGGCCACAAATAAGGTTCAATGTCACTGTGGGGTGACAGAGTATGGAGGAATCTGAAGGTTTCATTCTTGGGCTAACTTAGAAGGGAGGGCTGGAAGGCATCTGACAAGAAAAGAGCAGAAAAGGGCAGAGACAGAGAGCAGGTTCTTCAGACCAGAGCGGCCATATGAGGTCATGTCCATAAGGCCCCTGGCAGCTGCACTGACAAGCGCTCATGCCAAGAGTTTCTGTAGGTATTTGGCAAAGAACTTACCTACTACTGTTACTGTTGGAAATAGCTGACATTACTCTTCAGAAAGTCCTGATCCTTCAGAGATTATAGAAGGGACCATAATTAAGTGTGAGCCAGGAGGAAACCTCACAGCTAGGAATGGTCGAGGAAATTATAGCTTCAGAGAAACTTGAAGTCATTAAGGTGGCCAATTTTCTTACCACGAGCCAATGTAGTAGAGAGCATATAACACTAGTCATAATTAATACTAGTTCATGCCATCGTCACAAAAGCAACATAAACAGACCAAAAAAAAAAAAAAAAAAAAAGTCTGGACAAATGTAAGTACAGTAAAAAGCAATGCAACAGCAGCAGCGCAGGAGTTACTACAGGACACCCTAACCAGTGGCTCAAGCCTCTGATCATATTCCAAGAGAGTGAGGGGCTATAAAACATGAGGGACCTCTCAGCATCCCTGCTGATGAACGGAAGGGCCCCACTGAATTCCAGAGACTTGTGTCACAGCTCCCATCACTCAGGATCACACTCCTCATCATTTTGGTCAGCACCGACAACAAAGTAACACAGAGAGGCATAAAGTATTGGCCCTGCATTTTTCCTTTTGCTGCAGTAGCTCGGCTTAGCAAAACGGGGGCTAACTGTACAGCCAAATCTGGGATGTGCCTTGGTTATTTAGACCAGATTGCCAGCCCAGAGTGGATGGGACCATTGCCTCAGCACTTCCCCAAAGATTTTCAACTGCACATATAGCCTTCCCACCCAGGGAACAAGGAACTGGTTCCTGCAGTGAATAGACGACTCATGCTTCCTTTCTGAGATATATTTAATTTTCCACCAAGGTGTGAAAAATAACAAATTACTAAAGATTTAAAAATGTTAGTGTTGCCAGCAAATGGATCAAAGCTGACATAAGAAAAGCAGCCACAGAGGGGTGAAGGGAAAAGAGGGAACAAAGAGGAAAATAGCACATGTATATTTAACTGAGTCAGCAGGGGCTGGGGGTTGGAGGGTGAGAAAAGAAGGGTTAGAATCCCTGCATTTAGAGGAATAAAGGAGCTGAGGAAGGAGTCATGATCTCATTCCATAACAGGGGTCTGAAAACGAAGGCTGAGGGATTAGAAGCAGATATGCAAATATGTAGATGCAAACAGGAAAGATGGAAAGAAAAGAAGGAAACTTTCCTAATGAGGTATGCAAATTTTTTATTTTTAAAAAAGAGAGAGATTTGCAAAGAAAGAGAGGAAAGAGTTATAGCACAGCTGGAGTGATGGTCACTGTGAAAGGAAAAAATGTGATTGCCTAATTAAGATTCTGACTGTGCCAGAAGCCAATGCATCTGTATGGATCAGAATTAATTAATCCTCTACTCCCATTAAATCCTCTGATTGCTGCTGAACATCCTAGGCATGTATCCTGCTCTGCTGCCAACCAGGCCACCTCTGCCCTTGCACTTCAGCCAGGTCTGTGGAAATACAGTAGGAATGCAGGTAACCCAGAGGATTAGTAGGCATCACTAGGACTCTGTCCCACTGCTTTGACCAGTTAAGTTACAGGCCATCCTCCCCAGTCGCCAGCAGAAAGCCTTCTGAAGGTCAAAATTCAACACATAGTGTTTTCTACAGGGTAAAACAGTGCCAAATGGGCCATATCAAGAGGTGCAAGTTTTTAGGTACTTAAAAATATTTTTACATGCAGGGGTCATGCCAGGTTCCTTAGCTCATGTATCTTGACTCTCCACCCATTGCTAATGCAGTATCCCACAGCATCAGTGGAATTTATTCCTTTGTTTTGTTTCTTAATTGTACAGTTTCATCACTTTTCAGATCTTTATGTGAAACAATAAAATAAATTGTACAGATTATTTTATAATTTGGCTCTTCTTTATGCCTAGTAAAACAGATGTCATTAGTTCCTTAAAGCATCAACAGCAGGAGAGACACTATTACAATACCACCACCTTCTCAATTAAAACATTGAAGGGAGGGATAAAAAATATGTTTGTCCATATTTATTGTGCCCAAAATTAGTATACATTTTTCAAAATACTACTGCCATGTACTTTTATTGCATGTCTGGAACACAGTGGTTGAACAGTAAGAAATCTAACAGGTACTACTGTTGCTACTAGCAGTGTTTTCATTTGAAAGGTTTCATCGAGTATCTTTTGGAACTATGTAGCCTGGTATCCTGAGAAAATAAGCTTTATATCGTCACAGCATCTTGATGGGTATGTATGCAGCTCTCTGCCTCACCCTAATGAAGTCTGAGCTTGTTGGCTCATTTCACCCATCGTTAACAGAGGGGTTGGAGAGCCATATTCCTGCTTTCACAAGGAAACACAATAGCATAAGCTCAAACTTTCTTATGTAGCTGTGAAGCTACAAAGAGAGGTTTTGAATATCTCAGCTGCAGGGATGCCTCAACA